TATAGGAAGGGGCATGAGCTGATTGAGGTGTCACTTCTACGGGGCTGGTGGCTATTGGCTAGGTGCTGGGAGTGGGAGGGGGGAGAGAGGTGATTGGTCTTCTGGTGGCGCCGTCGGGAACTGAGGACCCGGAAGAGAAGCCAGAAGTTCACCATCTTACTGGTGGGGGCCCCTCAGACCGGGCCTCAGTGAATGAGGATTCTCACCATGTGTAGGCAGAGAAGGGTCAACTATGGGGATCAACTGTTACTCTGAAAGTTGTGGTTGGGGGTGCTCCTGTCCTGGAGGAGCCCTTGGGAGTGCCAGACACTCAACGGTCACTTCCAGGTTCCAAAAGGACATTTAAGTAGACCATGAAGGGAAGACTTACCGAATTGAAGGCTGGTGTTGGGTAAGAAGAATGACCTGGGAAATGGACAGTGAGCCCATGAAGCAGGACTGGGCAGTGAGGGTTCCCAGAGAAGCTCAGATTCCCAGAGGAAGAGCTAAGTCAACAGGAGAACATCATCTGAAGTCACGGCACCAATGAAAAGGTATCTTACCATGACCCTCCTTACCCCAGAACTACTCAGGAGACAAGGGCCCACGGAAGAGATTTTATTAGCTGAAAGAGAAAATGGCTTCCCCCAGAGAGAGGGAGCAGCAGTTCGTGGGTGAGGAAGTACGTTTTTAAGGAGTATGGGTAGGGTGTGTTCTGCATTAGTGATTGAATCTTAAGGGCTGAGCGACCACCTGGTCATTGGTGATTAGATCTTAAGGGGTGGGGGTCTTAGTGCGCCAGAATTTGCCTTCACCAATATTGTCAGACTGACCTCTATTAGCAATCTCGTGGCTGGGGAAGAAGTTGAGACTAGTTTAAAGACTGTCCCATCTGTCTAACAAGGTGACTAAAATATCCTTGGACTTGGTTAATTCAATCAAAACACTTTTCATAGATGTATGTTTAGGACTGGGGGATGTCACAAAACTAAGTAAACGATTAGCTCTCCTTGTAGCGGTACAGACACAATTTCATAATCTAACCAGGGGAGGAGGCAGGAGTCTACAGGGGAGCGTCCTGGAGAAGCCAGTCTTGCGTGCTGTTCCAGAAGTGACTCCAGTGAGAAAGGATGGAGTGATAACCTCAACGATTTAACCCGTTTCCTCCGGGCATAACCTTCACTCTGACTTTTAACAGGATATTTGAGAGACTGCGGCACGCCATTCCTCCTCCCGCACTCTTTCATTGTCCGCTCTTGAGCCACGCCCCCGGATTCCGGACCTACACTCGAGCCAATAAAATTGCGCCCCAACGATCACAGGCCGGAGAAGGGAAGACTCCAGCCAATGGGAAACCAATTATACGCAAAGGGGAAATAAAATATTTTAGTGGTGTCTTTGGGCCAATAAGGAGCAAAGATCGTGCACCCGTTGGGAGCGCGCCCCCTAGAGGACCTGCTGCTTCCTGAAGCACATGACCAGGAAGCTGAAATAGCGCAGCCCCACCTCCTAGTCTGTAGGTAGCGCGATGGGTTACGCTTCCAATGGCTGGCAGAACCTTCTGTCACGTGCAGTTATTGCAGGCCCAGAGGGCTCTGGAAGGTCATGTGATACTAAACGTTTCCGCGACCCTCCCCAATGGGAAAGAAGAGACGCCTTCATGAGACCGGGGATTGGTTTATCTTCAGCAATAATAGCATGGCGGGGGCGGGGTTAGCGTATCACGTGCTGTGGGACAGATCGGGGCGGGACAGTCCACCGGTTGCGGGGAAAAGCTGTGCGCGCTGCGCGCAGGCGCCCTGAGGACCCGGTAGCGGCGGTGGTGGTGGTTGCGGCGACAGCAGGGGGGAAGAGAGCCGGGTCCTTGGCCGAAGCGGGAGGCAGTGGTGGCGGCCATGGCGGCAGATGGAGAGCGATCCCCGCTACTCTCCGAGACCATCGACGGTGGTGCTGGCGGCAATGGACCAGTGGGGTCGAGCGGGAGTGGGCCTGGGCCCGGGGGAGGCCTGACCCCTTCCGCGCCTCCGTACGGATCCGGTAAACATGCCCCGCCCCAGGGTAAGCGGGGGCGGGTCCGCTTGTTCCAGGGGTACCCTGGAGAGTCGGGAGGGGAGGGGCCTGGCGCGGAGGCGGGGCCCAAGCGCCAGGTGCGGAGTTGTTCACCTGTGACTGGGTGACAGTTACTTCATTCCGGAATGGCAACGGGAGTTTGGGAACGCGAGGGGGTTCTAAGGAAGCTGATGGAATTACGGATTATAAGAAGCCCGCCGAGCTTGGGCAGAAGGACTGAGGACCAGAAGGCGTTCCATGACCCCGTGGAGCATCAGTGGGGGTGCCTGCAAGTGATGCCAGCTCTTCTTTTACCTTCCTCTCCAGCATTTCCCCCGTTCCCAGAGGGACACCCAGCCGTGTTGCCTGGGAAGGACCCACCCCCCTACTCACCCCTGACTAGCCCGGACAGCGGCAGTGCCCCCATGATTACCTGCCGAGTTTGCCAGTCTCTCATCAACGTGGAAGGCAAGATGCATCAGCATGTAGTCAAATGTGGTGTCTGCAATGAAGCCACTGTGAGTTACATATCTATACATATCTGTGAGATGGGCCTTTTTTCCTGGATCCTGTTTCTGATCCCTTGATTCTAGGCCCTGACTTTCAGGTATTTGCCAAGTGCTTTTAATGAAACCCAGGTTTTAGTTCCAGGAATGTCACACAGCCATTTCCCCAAAAGCCACTCACCAAAGCTAATGTTTTCCGTCCCTCACCTTCATACCTGGATACTTAAGCCCTGTTTTTATTTGCAAATCCCATGCTGTATGCCTTTCTTTCTTTTCTCTTCCCTGGCTAAGACATCTCTCTGATTTCTCTTCAGAAGGTATTTTTTGGAGGAAATGGAAGGGATCAGAATTAGAGGTTTGCTTACTGATGTCCCCATTATTCTGTAGCCAATCAAGAATGCACCTCCAGGAAAAAAATATGTTAGATGCCCCTGTAACTGTCTCCTCATCTGCAAAGTGACTTCCCAGCGGATTGCCTGCCCTCGGCCCTACTGGTAAGAGGCATAAGGTGGAGAAGGGCATCCTTGGGGAAAATTGGAAGGCCAAAAAATGATGAATGTTTAAAGAATGGTAAAGGTGAGAGAGTCTGGTGTTTATTTAGGAAAAAAAGCTAAAGATAGTTATGGTTCTAGTGTGTTACAGCCACCTTTCTCATCTCTCAATAAAAAGATTAGGATGAAGTGCTGTCCTTTTGGAAAATTGAGAGTCTCGGGGACTGAGTGGATTATCCTAAAGGGAAATTAGGGACTTGAAGTTTAAGCAGTGCTCTTCCTCGGGGATTCTGTGAGAGGGTTGGGGGACAGGGAGGTATCTTAAATGTACAGGAAGTAGAGGAACTTAAGCAGGCAAGGAGTGGGGGATATGAAAGTGGTGTAGGAATTCTTAGGATCAGAAATTTTTTAAACAGTTTTTTCTCTTCTACAGCAAAAGAATCATCAACCTGGGACCTGTGCATCCAGGACCTCTGAGTCCTGAACCACAACCTGTGGGTGTCAGGGTCATCTGTGGACATTGCAAGAATACTTTTCTGGTGAGGAGGAGTATTGGAAAGACCTGGGGAAAAAACCCAGGAGTAATCATGGATGTATTTCTGAGTTACAATGATGAATCCTGAAAAGGTCTGTTCTATGAGGACCTGTTTCCCATCCTTCTCTGCCTCAGGGCTCACACTTAAAGATGATCTTGCTTCTACTATTAAATGGTTTCTTCGTTTTTCTTTCTCCTTAGTGGACAGAGTTCACAGACCGAACCTTGGCCCGTTGCCCACACTGCAGAAAAGTGTAAGTGATTAGTGAGTAGCATCATTGAGCTGGTAGTTGGGTAATGTGTATGGAGTAAAAATTAGAGGGCCGTTGCAAACATCCATTTGTTTGACTCCCCGCAGGTCATCCATTGGGCGTAGATATCCACGGAAGAGATGTATTTGCTGCTTCTTGCTTGGCTTACTGTTGGCAGTCGCTGCCACTGGCCTTGCTGTGAGTAAACGTGATCCAACACCTTTTGTTCTTCAGCTTCATCTCCATAGACTCAGATTTGGAAAATGGCTATGCTAAAAAGGAGTGTGAGAAATCAGTGGATTTTTGTTTGTTTGTTCTTTTAATGTACAAATGAACTGAAGTTGAAGGAACTGATAAGCAATCTTCGCTGTTACTATAGGAGTAAAAATCTGCCATCGTCTTTACTCAGTGAATAGGACAATACAGTGACTTAAACTAAAAGTTTAGGAAACCTGGATCAATTATCAAACAGTGAAAATAATTAACAGATGTCTGGGATTGTTGAGTATGTTCTGGCCCAGGGGAAGGAAGCAGAACTGTCTTTGAAAAGATCTCAGACCTTTGGATAGGAACCAGAGACTGAAGCTTGAGTTCTGTGTTACTGTCACTAGGGCTTATAGAAAGTGGTGAGCTCAACAATAATTCATTGTTCTTTTTCTTCATCAGTTTGGCACATGGAAGCATGCACAGCGATATGGAGGCATCTATGCAGCTTGGGCATTTGTCATCCTGTTGGCTGTGCTGTGTTTGGGCCGGGCCTTCTATTGGGCCTGTATGAAGGTCAGCCACCCTGTCCAGAACTTTTCCTGAGCCCCATGATGATCCACAGACTGCCTGGCCCCTCCCTGGTGGGGACAGTGACACTACAAAGGGAGCCATGGTAAAAGGCTCCTAGAGTTTCTGTAAGGGGAGCCAAGCAGCTGCCTGCCTTTTCCCTGGGGAGAGGTAGGATGGAACCAGGCCCTCACCTAGGCTTAGAGGGGTAGGTAAGACCACTGCTGGTCATCCGCTTTCCTCCAAGGGTTGCTGTGTTTAAGGTGAAGTAGGCAAAATGTCCCTAAACCAGGGTCCTACAAGAGGGTTCTAGCCTAGTCTTTCCTTTATGCTCTGAGAGCCATTCCTGTCCCTTACACAGTCCAGGGCAAGTGGGCGGGGGTGGGTAGCCCTGGGGGTTTCCCCTCCTGTTGTACACCATTAGGACTGCTGCTGCTATTGCACTTCACCAGGGGCTGGCTCTGATCTCAGTACCCTCAGCCTCCTCTCCCACCATTCTGTCCTGTGGGGGTGGAGTCAGCTGCTGCTCTGTACAGAACCACAGGAATTGATATGTGTATATAACTATTTAATGTGGGGTATATTCCCCCATCCTGTTTCCCTTAATTCCTCTTTCCAACTTTACCCCCCAGTTGCACCATTTAACTGGGCTAGGTAGGGTTGCTGTATTGGTGGAAATTAGGGACTCATCCTATGCTTGTAAATAAATAAGGTCATGACTCTATTCTTTTCCAGTTGTTAATCTTTATGTATGAAAGATGGGAATTTGCAGCCCAAAAGGGGGTAGAATACAAAGACAGCAAGACTGAAACTATGGCTCTTTATTTGCATGTGGACAGTTCAAAGAAAATCATCAGTAGCTTTTGTTTAAAGTAAAAAAAAAAGGGAGGGGGGGACTTTGGGCTTAAATCTGTCAGTAGAAGCCTGGATGAGAGATTCTTTTTAGAAGGAAAATACAATGCATATCTCTAGAGAGCAGTTTTTAAAGAAGCTGTGGGGGTTTTGTTAAGGGTTAAGCTAGTTTTGGGGGACTTATTTCCCAGGCTCAGAGTGATTTGGGGGAGGTATCATAGTGCTAGGTATAGGGTGATGGGACAGTGGTCACTGCCCAGGGCCTTGGATCGGATCTTGCTGTCACACAACGCAGGTAAGAGAGAGTGAGACAACAGAAAGTAATCAAGGCGCCAACCAACATTTTTGGATCGAGCATTCATCATGTAGGTCCAGAAGGTGTAGGCATAGGCAATGTTGGGGTAGAGATGCCGGAAACTGTCAGCCAGTGGCACAGCCTGCAGCAACTCCCCAAAGCCTTGACGCTCTTGTGGAGTGAAGCCAGCATTCTTTTTGTTTCCCTTGGGGTTGCGAAGGTCAATTTCTTCATGAGCCACATTAAGATCCCCACATAGCACAAGGGGCTTGCAGGAAGCCAACCCCTTCAGGAACTTGCGAAAAGCTTCATCCCAGCGCTGTCTATAATCCAGGCGCACCAGACCCCGGCCTGCATTAGGTACATAGGCTGTTACCAGCACAAATGTGTCAAATTCAGCCACAATCACTCGGCCTTCCTGATCATGTTCCTCCTCACCTGAAATGAAACAACCAGCATAAAGTATGAAAGAGAAAGCAAAGAACAAAAGAATCCAAACTAGGGCTGGCCTAGGATATTAGCAATTAGCTTGGAAGAGCTCCAGTGTTATGAATAAACAGGATCTCACCAATGCCATAGGAGACTTTGAGTGGGCACTGGCGGGACAGCAGGCCCACACCACTGTACCCTTCCTTATCTGAGGGAGCTGACCAGTACTGATGGGATAGTCCAGGCAGCTCCTGCAGTTCAGGTGGCAGTTTGTTCTCTGAACATTTCGTCTCTTGGAGGCACAGGATATCTGGGGCTTCTTCCTTTACCCACTGTGAATGAAATGCAAGGTCAAAAACTTACTGATTCAGCAAACATTTATTCAAGAATCTATGCACCTCATATTAGAGATACACAGGTGAGACATAGTTCGTGAGCATAAGGCATTTAAGAATCTAGCAGCACAATAAACATAAATTATGTAACTGGCAACGAATGGAGAGTGTTACACGAACACAGATTGTTTTTTCCATAGGCAATGGATAACTGGCTACGATTTTTAAGTAGTTACTTAAATGGAGACTATGCTGGAGACAAAATGGAGCAAGTCCAGTAACAAGGTTTTTTTCAACATGCTGTGTAAAAGATGATATTAAACAAGACAATGGCAATGGAGGTTAAGGAATGGACATTTAGGAAATGGAATAGTTATGACTTGGTGAGACACCTCCTTCTACCTCTCCCAAAAGAAAACTAAAGACAAGGTAAAAATAAAACCTACGTACTGAGGGCTGAAATGGGAAAAGGCGATTAAACTCCAAGCTCACCCAACACTAAAGAATGTCTTCCCTTTCTCGAATTACACTCACATCTAAGCCTTTCTTCTTAATCCAGGCTCGAAGCCCATCCACATTCCAGGAGCAAATTTTTAGTGTGGCTGACTTGCCACCGGGTGACGTTTTTTTATCTGGGGGGTCCTCATACAGGGCTGGCCCCTCTCCTGCTGCCTCTTTTTCGTTTTTCTTTGCTCCCGATTTACTCTTCTTGACCTCTGGCTCTGTAAAATAAGTAACGCATAGTGATCAAAGTTGGTGGTAACTTTGATCCAGATTTAACTAGACCCGCAGAGCCTGCAGCTGCCGCGACTTCTTCACAAAATCTTCAAAAAAGTACTGAATCGGTCCCTACTTCCCTTTCATCAATAGAAATACCCCCATCGCAGCCTCTAGGCGGAGGAACCCATTTCATTATCTTACCAATCTTGGGCTCTTCACCCTCTTCGGCCACCGATCCCTTTTTCCCACGCTTTGGCATCACTGAAACGAAAGCCTTTCTGAACCTGTTCCACGTGGCCCACCGCAGCAGTATTTTTGTGGGGTTGCCTACAGATGCAAATAAGTCGTGAAACCAGGTAAAGTTGGGAAAAAGCCTCCTTCCTCAGGTGAGACTTGGTGCGGGGGTGCAAACCCTACTGTCTGAATCCTTTCCTCGCCTCCGTGCACGATAGGCCCTTCAGCCCCTCACCCACTAGATCGTTTCATACTGCCTGAACCCTCCTCGCGAGATCTGCACCCCCCCCACCCCCGCTACTCGAAGGCCTTATTGAAGGGTCCCGACTTAGTTCTGCCTATCAGACGTCCACAGAAGCCCCCCCCCACACCTGCTGAGCAAAAGACCCGCACTCTGCACCTGACCTACTCGGGTCGCAGGCGAGCTCCTCCTTACCGGAGCACAAAGAATGGAACACGCTGTGTTCCCACGTGGGTAACTGGCATGGTCACGTGACCTGTCGTGCGCTCACGCGGTGGAGGAATATGGGTGATTGGTCTGTCTGGAGCCACGTGACAAAGAAGCTCGGCCTTCCTCCAGTCTTCGTGTTTCCAAGTGATTGAAGGCCCAACACTCCAATTCTCGGACTGTTTATAAGCGTGCCAGATGCACGACTCATTCTGCCACTCTGACTGAAGATCCCAGAGCTGTGCAAGGGGAAAAAAAACTCAGTGGAGAAGGCTGGGCTGGACCACGGGAGAGAGGCAGAGGAACACGCAGGAATAAAAGGAGCAGACGCCGGCTCAGCAACTCTGGCAGTTAGGCGGACAGGCCCCTGAAAGGACCTTGTGAGTCGCCGTGACGACAGGGGAGGGGTTGGCGGGGGCGTCCCACCCACGTGAGTTCTTTGGGGTCTGTCCGTTGACGCGTGTGGCCCCGCCGGCGGGGGCTTGAACTCTTCTGCGCTCCGGAGTCTGCGCTCCCGTGTAGTCTGGTGAAGGTTGCACTTCTCCAGTGTAGCTAGGAGCGCTGCCGGCGTTTTCTTTCTGGCCCGGCCATGCCGACGGTGCTGGGTTTTGAAGGCAGCGCCAACAAGGTCGGTGTAGGAGTTGTCCGGGATGGCCAGGTACTGGCGAACCCCCGGCGGACTTATATTACACCTCCCGGCACAGGTGCGTGACCAAGGAATTTATAGTTTGCGGCGCGCTTCGCACAGCGTCACCTTCCATTTTCCTAAACACTAGTGCAGTAAGGCGTGGAAAGTATCCGAGTCTCAGATTATGTGACAGTATTAATGTCACAAGGCTGATGGATAGAAGAGTCACAGGCACCTGGACTTGGATCTTCTGGGTTCGTTCAGCTTTTATTGAGCGCCTTTTATGTGCTAGTCAGCTGGCTACTAGATACAAAAGTAGATGTTATGAGCCTGCCGACGTCGGACATATACACAGAACTTCAAGACAAACAGGATGACGTAGGTGCGATCAGATTATTCTAGAATGAGGAGTGTAAAGACTCCCAGCTCAGGTGTCAGAACTGGCTGTCTTTGCAAATTCATATTCGGTGTTTGTTTTTGGACTTATGTCTCTTACTCTTAAAATGACAATAATACCTGTATCATTGGGTCTTGGGAGTTACATGGAAGTACCAAACACATTACAACTTTAATTAAGTGTTATTTGTAAGTTATTATATCCTGCCTCTGCTCTAAAACACCTGACTGCATAGGAGAGGGCAACTGACTTGCATATTCCTGAAAAGCCTCCCTGAACCAGTTATGTTGGGACGGGTTGCTCGTTAAAAATATGTATTTATCTTTAGTGCTCACTCTTCCAGGTATTTTGGTGCCAGGAATATGAAGATAAATAGCCAGTGCTTTGAGGTAGTCATGATTAAACTGGGGAAACTACAGTTAATTACAATGCTATAGTTGCTATATGTAACCATGCAAAGGGTTTGTAGGATCACAGAGAAGATCACTAGAAGGTATGAGGTAAGTATGACTTGAATTGAGTCCTGAAGGCTGAGTAGAAGGAGTTGGGTATAAAGAAGGGAATTTCTGAGAGCTCTTCAGCCTAGCTAAACTGAACAGGCTAGAAAGAATATACCTGAAAATCTGGAAGACAAGGATGCTTAAGGAGAGTAAAAGGGATTCTTCCTATGTTATATTAACGTTAAAAATAAAATAGCCAGTTATTTTGCCAGCAAAACAAATTTATTCAGGAATAGCAGACATGCAATTCAGGATTTATAAGCTACAGCAAAACCACAGGCAAGTTCCTGAGTGGTTCAGAACCTGAAAACAAAGAGGGAGCCCACTCTTTTATAAGGGAAAGGGGAAATTGGGATGGGTAGTTACAAACAACAAGGCCCCTGGAGTAAATTCGGAGTGTAGTGGCTTTTCATTAGCTGAATTATAGTAAGCTCTCATTGGCTGGGCTGTTGCTGGGCAAGGAGAAAATCTTTCTTCCTTCTGTTGGGTTAGTATACTTGACCCTTGAACAACACAGGTTTGAACTGCTCAGATTCACTTTCATGTGAATTTTTTTTGGTAACTATAATGGAAATTTTTTGGAGATTTGAGACAATTAGAAAAACATTTTCTGTTCTCTAGCTGACTTTATTGTAAGATAAATCATAAATATAACATACAAAATCTGTGTTAATTAACTTTATGTTATTTCTTCTGGTCAACAGTAGGCTATTAGTAGTTATGTTTTTAGAGTCAAAAGTTACACATAGATTTCGACTATATGGGTTTTGGCGCCCTTAACCCTCCTTTTGTTCAAGGGTCAACTGCATAGGCTTCTTCCTGTTGGGAATGCAAGGTAGCTCTCTCTGTTGGGGTCTGTAAATGAGGACAAGTGGTAGGGCATGAGAGTCCTCTTCTAGTCTTCCAAATCCATTTTGAATGTGGTCCCTTACTCAGTTTCACAAGAACTAAAACACTTGTTTTTTTTACTTTTACCCACTTTAGCTGTAGAAAAATTAGATGAACTCTGACCTGTGTCCATCTTATAGGATTCCTTCCAGGTGATACTGCCAGGCACCACCGAGCCGTTATCCTGGACCTGCTGCAGGAAGCCCTAACAGAGGCTGGATTGACCCACCAGGATATTGACTGCATTGCCTACACCAAAGGTATGGCTGGGAGAGAGGTCAACAATGGAAGAATATACCTGGCAAATGGCCAGGTACCAAACTTGCCTCTCACATCCCCTACTTCCCCCAATTCTGTTTTTCCAAATCTTTATAGGTGCTAACTCCCATTTCTATCCCCCTAGGCCCTGGCATGGGTGCCCCACTGGTTTCAGTGGCTGTTGTGGCCCGTACTCTGGCCCAGCTGTGGAATAAGCCATTGCTTGGTGTGAACCACTGTATAGGCCACATTGAGATGGGCCGCCTCATCACTGGAGCCAGCAACCCAACTGTGCTGTATGTCAGTGGAGGAAATACACAGGTATTTAGAGTATCCATCATCCCTCCTTGATTTCTAAGGCAGTGTAACAGCAACTTTCATGTTCTACCTGAGTAGTAGGAATTTCAGGAACAAAGCTGACTCATCTGAATCTAAAATTTTATTAATGAGAAAACCCACAACAAAATTGATAACATTGCGGATTGGAGCAGGGTGATCAGAACAGTAGATGACTTTCATGCATGTGCTTATAAAAGTGAAGACTTTCCAATTTAGAAAAGCAAATAATGATCAGGATTGGAGCCTTCAAAATAACAAAAGGATTTTCACTTTTATTATTTTGAAGCTTACTTTTTCTGTGAATCTTAGCAGTTAAAACTAAGGGGCACTACTTGATTTGTTTCTTTATGATAACTCTGTTTCATTTTACATTATTGGTGGTAAATGTATAGTAGTTGTTATTCTAAGAGTTTTCTGTCCTGTGAAAATATAAATGACTTTAAAAACCCTATGTAAATAGTAGAAGGTATTTTAAGTTGGCGGCTGAAGTTGTTTGGTGGGGATTGAAGAATTCCAGCCACCTTCTCCCACAGAACACAAGATGGGGGTCATTATCCAGTTTATGAAAGGGTTATGTTCCAAAACTTCATTTTGTGAAACAGTTATTTTGAAGCATACATTCCCGTGAAAATGACGTGGGGACTTTAACAAGTAGAGAGCAACTAACTGGTTGAGGCCTGAAGGATGACACACAAGGTTAGGGACGTGGGGTGTGGAAAGTAGGAGGCTTACAAGACTTAATGAAGAGGAGCAGTGGTAGTTTTTTCTTCTTTTCCTCTTCCCTTTTGAAGCGTGCTTAGATGTGAAAAATGGGGGGGGTGATTGGGTAGAGAGGAGAGAATAACAGAAGTGAAAAGGCAGGATTTTTTCTTTGCCATGTGGCCAGCCATTTGACAGAAGAGTAAGATTACAATCTACATCAGAGCAGAAGGAAATCCTTAGCAGCACCAGAAAGGAAAAGGGATTTCTTACGGGAAGCACTCACTGTCAGTACTTCGGAGCATGTGTGTCAGTGGGTGATATTCTCTCTGCTAGAAATTGGTCACAGAGGAAGAATGGACAGGAGTTGATTGCCAGTGCTGAGCTGGAAGGGCCATTAATCTGACCTAATAAGGGATTTTTGAGATTTTTCACCCCTACCTCTTCTCTTGTTTCCAAATGCCACTACCCTGGTAGGATTAGAAAGATGGTTCCCTGCCTCTGTGCAGCAAAGCCTGCTCCTAGTGCACACTCTCAGGACTGCTTTTAAAAGCTATACCAGGAACCTCCATTCTAGCAAAATGTTTTTGAAATGATGGTTTGCTTCTGTCCTGATGTAAATTGCCTTCCTTCTGTAGATTAGGAATCTGCTCTGGGAATTTTCAGGATATATATAGGCTTCTCAGATGAAAGCTCTGAAGGAGTATCCATTCAGGGCTTTAGAAAGTACTTTTTTTCCGTTTCTCACTGGAAGCTCTAATGGCCATGTTGATTTTCTGCTGTGTTCTTCCCCAAAGCCAAATACTCCTCTTTACAGACTTGAGGTTTAATGGACATCCTTATCACTCTTAGGTGATTGCATATTCAGAACGTCGTTACCGCATCTTTGGGGAAACCATCGATATTGCTGTGGGTAATTGTCTGGATCGTTTTGCTCGAGTACTGAAGGTAAGCTATTGGGACTACAGGGAACCTAAGATGTGGAGGGATTTCTGGGGAGCTGTGGAAATGGAGGGACAAAGTAAATTAGCTTCCTATGTTTCCTGGATATCTGACTTCATCCTCTTTTTCCTTCTGTTAGATTTCCAATGACCCAAGTCCAGGCTACAACATTGAACAGCTGGCTAAGCGGTAAGGGAACATAGGTGGAAGGGAAGGGGCTGACTGGTGGTGCTGCGGGGATTTCCCTGTATGTAAATTAATGAGGTTTGGGAGGGGCTGTGGAGGGTGCACAGCCAGCTTACTACAGGCTTAGCACCATGTGTACTCATGTTTATGTCCCCACTCAGAGGGAAGAAGCTAGTGGAGCTGCCATACACTGTAAAGGGGA